TTCTCCGTTTGTTCCCCAGCCACCGTGCACAGTCCTTCGTGCAGTCTCTGGCTAGCAGGGTGATTTTTGGGTTAATTCTTATGTCCTACCCCCACTCAGGAATCTCCAAGCCGTGTCGTCTGTGCCATCAGGTTTGCTCAGTCTGCTGCCAGACTGCAACTCCCTGTGTCTCCTTTTTTGGTATTTTCATGCAAATCCTTCTGCTAGTTGGGGTTTAGTCCACTTTTGTAGCCTTCCCTTCAAAGCTCAGTGGTCCAAGATTATTTTGTGTGTCTATGTTAATTGGTTTCCCTTTTCTTTGTTGAAGAGCATCTGTGCAGTCCTTCTGCCTAGTCCGCCATCTTGCCGGAACCCCTGACATTTCTTAAAATTTGTCTTTGACTTAATTTTTTTACTATTTGGAAATGCTAGAATTTTTCAAGTGCAAGGACAAATGGAGTAGCTAGAAGATTGTCTAAACACTAACATTGTATATAAGAACACTTATCTTGTCCCTTGTTTCACTTCCATTACCCTTCCCCACTTAATTAAAGGGATGGTATATGTAAAAAAAAAAAAAAAAGGAAAGTAAATTTCTTTGCAAGTAATTTCATTGAGAAGGGTAATAGGTGATGCATGTAAAACACTTGTTCATGGCAAATAAATATTACTTTTTCTCTTCAGTAATAAAGATGGAAACTTCTTCCACAGTAGCATTTTATTCTCTGTGGCTAACAGAACTTATGTGAATGGTTGTTATGTATTGTTAACAGCTCTTTTCCTTTATGAATCAACAGGTCTTGGCTGTTCAACTATACTTTCTCCAGAAGGATCAGCTCAGTTTGCTGCTCAGATATTTGGATTAAATAATCATTTGGTATGGGCCAAACTGCGAGCAAGTATATTAAATACATGGATTTCCTTGAAGCAGGCTGACAAGAAAATCAGAGAATGTAGTTTATAAGAATTTTACTGCGTCTTTCTAATAAGAACAACTACAAATTCTTGGTTTGGCTATAGAAAAACATGCTAGATTAAAGGATTCTAAATTACAGGAAACAAAAATTATCGAATAAATAGTTTTCTAGATTCATGCCTTAGTAGAATGTGCATATTTTCAATATAGTTCTTTATAAGTTGTAGAATATATATGGGCATTTTTAGATGAAGCTCTTTTACCCCCCTACTATATATTCATGACCGACATAACGTCCATTCAGGCAGCATCCAACCACATAACTTTAATGGTCCCATAAGATTACAGTCACATACCCAGACCTACTACCATTGAGTTGTGACTCATAGTGACCCCGTAAGACAGAGTAGAACTGCCCCATAACGTTCTGTTTGTGAGACTAAATTTTCACAGAAGCAGATTGCCTTATCCTATGGGGATTGACTGATGGGTTGGAACCATCACCCTTTTGGTTAGCAGCTGAATGCTTTAACTACTGTGCTACCAGCGCTCCTTTTAAGATAACAGAGTTCAGAAATTGTGATCAGAGAATGGGATGTAGTGGACGTAACTAGACATAGCGGACATAACAGTCTTGTGCATAACTTGTATCATGTCTCATGTATACAAAGCAATTGTGCTGCCAGTTGTATAATGGTACAGTGTATTTGTAATCTATAATTATGTCTTGATAGTCATAATAAATGTCTGTTACTGGCTTTATGTATGTCCTGCTATGTACTTTCTATTCAAAAATTTTACTGTATAACAATGTATGCTTTGACTCATAGTCAGCTGCATCATTCTCCCATATCATGTTTGTTACAGAATTATCTTCTGCATTAATTTTGTCAAAATATTACTGTGAAGTGCATCATAGCTCCCAAATACAGCAAAACCAGTGCTAGTGATAGCAAGAAGCAAATGAAAATACCAATTTTGAAGTGAAACAAAGGTGGAAAATCAGTGAATGTTATTGTGATTTAAGCACCTCACAATGAACAATCCTTTTGATCCTCAAAAACATTCTCCAAGCCGCTGGAAGGATCAGCTCCACTGAAAGTTGTAAGGCTAATAAAATGAGAGGGACATAGATATGGAAAAATTGCTAATGACAGATTGAAGAGCAAATCCCTTTGAGCATGTTGACAATCACTGCTAAGGCATGAAGGCATGAAGCTTGTTTGTTAATATCCAATTTCATAGAACATATGGATTTTAAGCAATGCATGACCATATAGGAGACCCTGGGTGGCACAAATGATTAACTAACTGTTTGACTACTAACTGATCAAGCAGAGCTTGATCCACTTCTGAAACATCTAGCCATTGAAAACCTTATACGACGTATGTCTTTAGTTATCTGGTGCTTCTGTAACAGAAATACCACAATTGGATGGCTTTGACAAATTGTCTCACAGTTTAGGAGGCTAGCAATCTCCGAGTTCAGAGTGCTGGCTGCAAGGGAGGTTTTCCTTTGTCTCTTGGTTCTGTTGGAGTGTAAGGTCCATCTTACACTTAATCCCTCACACTGTGGTATGCTCTAACACTAATGTCTTTTAATTTTCAGTTTCATGGTTTCTGAATAGCCATGGGCTGCTTTGTCAACTCCTCTTCCCCTACCTAGCAAGGACACCATGCATCTCTATGCACCACTTGTAACATTTCAAGCATTGAATTAGACTGGTTAGGAATGCCTGTTACCAATTTCTAAGTTTCACCGTGAGTTTGTAGAGTGTACATGCACATATCCTCAGTCCCATAGTTCATCAGTACTAAACACTTGTTTGGTAGCGTAGTGCCTAAGGCACTTGATGGCTAACCAGAAGGCTGGCAGTTGAAACCCACCAGTCACTCCTCGGAAGGAAGATGGGACTATCTACTTCTGCAGTGATACTGCCTCGGAAACCCAAGGAGTGGTCGCTGTGAGTCGGGTCCGACTCGACGGCAATAACAGCAACAACTTGTCTAAAGGTATTTCTACTGTGTCATGGAAAGTAACTTACACAGACCTACCTGGTTTGCCATGTTTGGGTATTTATCCTTTGGATTTCTAAAAGAACTAACAAATCTATCTTGGAAGAAGTGGAGCCGAATGCTCTTTGGAAGCAAGAATGGCCAGAGTTTGTCCCACCTACTTTGGTCATGTTGTCAGAAGGGACCATTCCCTGGAGAATGATATGCTTGGTAAAGTGGAGGGTTAATGAAGAAGGGGAAGGCCTTCAATCAGATGGATTGACACAAGGGCTGCAACCATGGGCTCAGTTATAGCAAGGATTTTTAGGCTGGCGCTAGACTGAGCAGTGTTTTGTTCTATTGTATGGTCTGAGCTGACTCATAGGCACCTAACAAAACCAACATGGGCCTGTTAAAGAAGGAATTAAGTGTCCAAATAATGTAGTTTTAAACTTTGTATCATAAAGACATGCTGCTGCTTATTAGGTGACATCTCTTTGGCTCTGACTCAGTGACCCAGTGCACAACAGAATGAAGCACTGCCTGGTCCTGCCCAATTCTCATAATTTTCACGCCTGAGCCCATTCAAACCCACCAGTCACTCCTCAGAAGGAAGGTTGGGCAGTCTACTTCATAGTGATACAGCCTCGGAAATCCAAAGAGGGGTTGCTATCAATCAGGTCCAGACTCCACAGCAGTGTTTTTTTGTTTGTTTTTGTTTTTTTAACCTGTTCAAAGGTGTCTAAGGAGTTGCAGAGCCAGCAACTGAACATGGGCATTCTCACCCCAAAATACATCACCTTTCTGGTTTTATTGCCTACTGCTTCTGAACTGGACAGCCATAGGGTTATCACCATAGTAGAGCATTTTCTGCTTCTGTGCTTTTGCTTATGTTCACTTCCCTGCTGGGATTTCTTCCATCACTTTTCCCAGAACCCTAAACCAAACCCACTATCTTCAAGTGGATTCTGACTCCCAGAAGAACCCCTGGTTTCGCTTAATCATCTTTCAAGAACCCGTTCAAATGTTACTCTATTAAGTATTGTTGTTAATGTGCCGTGGAGTCGGACCTGACTGATAGTGACACCCTCCTTGGGTTTCTGAGGCAGTATCACTACGGAAGTTGTTGTTGTTGTTGTGTGCTGTCGAGTCAAACCCGACTCATAGCGACCCCTCCTTGGGTTTCCAAGGCAGTATCACTACGGAAGTTATCACTACGGAAGTAGCATTGCCCAACCTTCCTTCCGAGGAGTGGCTGGTGGGTTTGAACCTCCAGCCGTCTGGTTAGCAGGCAAGTGTCTTAGCCACTATGCTACTACGGAAGTAGATGGCCCCATATTCCTTAACAAGGAGAGTGGCTGGTGGGTTTGAACGGCCAGCCTTCTGGTTAGCAGTCAAGTGCCTTAGGCACTACGCTACCAGAGCTCCTCTATTAAATATTACCAACCACCAACGGGAAGCCATGCCTCAGACTCTTTCAAACTACTCTCTATGATTTATAAGCCACTGCCATGAGTGGATTCTAACTCATAGCCACCCTCACTGGGTTTCCGAGCCGGTAAATCTTTACCGAAGTAAATTGCCCAGTTTTGCTTCCGCGATGATTTCTAGTTGATATCAGTTTATTTTCCACCTGTCTCTCCTATAGACCGAACAGGTTGCAGGGACTGACGGCGCCCAGACCGCCTCCTGGGTCCAGGACACCACCTTGTCCCCAGCGGTCGCCCCGGAAACACACGCTTTGGGTCAGAAGTGTTTGGTGACCCTCTTCTCAAGCCTCTCCCGAAGTCCGACAAGTGTATTGTTAAGATGTATCAGAAACATCGCTAACCACACAAATTTCTCCTTTCGAGGGCGTAAGATTACAACCTCCAATGCTAACAAACCGAAACCAAACCCCCCCACCCCTACCCGCGACGCTTAGCAACGGCCGGCTTCCTTCTCCGCTCCGGCTACTTACAGATCCGCTTCCGGGGCAGAGGTTGCCCCCGCTCCTCCTGCAAGATGGCGAGTGGCGGTAGTGGGGGGATTTCAGTACCTGCACTCTGGAGTGAAGTTAACCGTTTTGGCCAGAACGGCGACTTCACGCGCGCTCTCAAGACGGTCAACAAAAGTGAGTGTCCGGACGGGGACGGGCACTGGGGCGGGCCCAGGCCAGCAGCAGGACTCGGCCTCCTTCCGCCGCGTGCGACCACCTCTGGGTAGATGCGGGAGGGTAGAGACCCCTGCAGCCCCAGACTCAGGCCAGAATGCCGAACACGCGCGGGTCGCAGTCCCTCCTCATCTCTAGGCCTGCCAGGGGTCCCGGTTTGCGTAGAGCCACGTGTACTTCCCCCTCTGTCCCTCGCGGGAAGCGCGAGAGAGATTTAAAGAGACCGCAGTTCTAGGCACCTCTTCCAAACTATTTTTTCATTTGATTCTTTCTTTGCTTTCACGCTTCATTTTGCAAATATCTCAAATGGCCTCCTTTCTCCTTCCTCTTGAGTGGCTTGATTAAGACAGTATTGGCGAGAGAGCTTGCTGTCTTCGTCCTCGGCGAGGGTAGGAACCAGCCTGGGACAAGTAATTTGGAAGCTGGTGCTGACAAAGTGGAAGCTGTACAGATCCGCCTGAGGGGAGAGGAGAGGGCTGGATCTGTAGTCAGACGCGTCATTCCCACAGATTCAATCACCCCAGTGTCATTAAACCAGAAAATGTGTGTGTGAAAGCACCAACATTTGGAATAATGTCCGAAAGAAATTTTGGCCTCTTTCTGACCCTTAAGTGATCCTTTCAAGTTTTAACTGTCTTTAGAGTGAGAGTCAACTCATTATATACTTTTATTCTTATTACATAACTCTAATATGGCCATGCCTTTTAATGTACTCCATTTTGCTAAATTCTTTTCTACTGAAGATGCACACTATTTGTTCGATGTGGAATTTAGTGAACAAGACAGGATTTGACTGTTCAAAACAGTAGCTAGAGTAGTAACATGAAGTTGTATAACTAATTTTGTTCTACAACCTATTGTGTTAATGTGAACAATGGTAATTGTGACAACACACTTTTGGTGACTTAAGACATTGAGGAAAGTAGCTTTTCAATTAGAATGATTTATCCCCACAACAACAAAACTTCGCTGAAATTAATTTTAGCTCTGAGGAGGCCTGAAG